TATAATAATAATAATTCTTACTTTTTAGGGAGAGTGCTCCTTTATGAAAAATATCTAACAGCGGATTTGGTAAGATTGCTTTACTGTGTAAGGTTTACTGTGTACTATAAATAGTAAAACTAAGCTAAGAATTTTATTTTAAAGTTTTTGTTGATGTTTTGATTGTTTTTAGTTACCATACTGAATGTCAAAGATGTGATTACGATTTACATATGTAAGAGTATTTATTGATGTGGGATGGGGAACATCCAATAGTCTCAGGTGATGGTGTGATGCTGAAACGCGTTAGAATGATCTCGGAGTGATGTCATCCCATACAGTACCCCGTCTGCTCGTGGCCAGAAACTGCGGCTGGAGCCGACAGTGGGACACTTGATTGAGAGGATATTCCTTAGAGGTGGGTGGGGCACTCACCTTCTGTAAGTGTGATGATTTGCTATGGTGCAATACATTTATTAAAGCTTTTTACACTATTGGCGTTCTCTTTCCATTATATGTGAGAGGAGGAGGAACTTGGAGTAGGACTTCTGCCCACTGTGAATGAGACTGCCAGTGTCTGGATTCATTTAGCAGTTAAAGGATTCCTATATCATATTTATTTATTCATGAGTTTCTTTAAGATATGCAGTCCTTTTGTGAGTAAGTGACTTTGGGCGAGGATACGTGGCGCCCGGTGCCTCACTTTTTTGAACACTACTGGACATTTATTGTCTGTATGAACAAATTAAGCACAAATGAACAGTGCACAGTGGATATTGAGTGTTTGCATAAATAAAGTAAATAACTTTAAGGGAATGCTGCACAGAGGTGGCAATTTGGACTTTGCACAGACTGTATTTATTGCTTTATTTTGGTGGTTACAGCATTTGCACTTTATATATTTTCATGCACTTTTTCACATTTAGTAATGAAGGAGTAATAGGGTTGCTTTTTAGCATAGCTACACATAGCTTTTGTAGTTCACAGTTTTATACCCATTTAGTAATTGCAGCTTGGCACTATTTTTTTATCCAGCTGGTATAGATCTCAGTCCGTGTATTTTAAAAGATGTGTATTTAAATTACTGGTCCGAGCTGCTTAATTTTGTTTGTAAAAAGAGCATCTGTATCAGAACCTTATCCTAGATTCCTTTGGGTCTGTTGTGCATTTTAAGAGGGAATCCCATTCAAATATCAAGGAAAAAAGTGTGATGTCTCCTAAAAATCTATACCACACCTTTATCCAAGCATGCACTCTGGCAAGCCATGAAAGTGGGAGAGGGTGAGCATGTGGGTCCCCTTCCATATATGGTCGATGGCCTCAGCTGGGAGACCACACCCCTTTGTTTACTTTTTAGTTGAACTGATTGGAGCTTTAAATCGGCAGAGGAAAACAACTGGAACAGATGTGTGTTGGTAGGTATTGGGCATCTCAATTGGATGTACATTGTGAGATTTTGTTGTTTTTTTAAATAAAGGACTTGTCAAAAACTATGTCTGTCTTTATTTACACTTTACTTTTTGTGTGAATGAGTAGAATACAATAAGTCCTTCACTCACAGGCCCCCACAATCACCAGGTCAGGGTTGTGGGGATGGGGCCTTTGTTCTCACCAACATTGGGATATTGCAAAGAAGGTTCTCTTTGGCAAGGTAAACACCCATTTTGAGAACACGTGACCTGGCATGGTTCAGGATGAGAGTGCAAACTCGTTCCCCCTTTCCTGGTCCTGCAAGCTTGCATGCTTGGATAAAGGCCTGGTATGGATTTTGTGGAGACCTCAAATTTTTTCTTGATTTTCGTATGGGCCCCCCTTGAATTCCCAGAAGGGAATTATGGGGAAACCAATGCCATTTTTTTTACATTTTTTATTTAGATCAAGTGAATGGGTCGGATGATTTCACTGATGGATAATGCAGGGTAAATACGTTCAGTTTATTTTCGTTCATCAAACCGGTGGTTGACAGATCCCTGCATCAACACAAATGATGTGTGATGCAGGGATCTCCCCTGCTGCACTATTGTATTCTGATAGGGGGGACTCCCCCCTGCCAAAATAAACAGATCAGCACTCAATTTTTGAGCATAAAGAAATGAGCTACAAGCGCCTGAGCATAGACAACCAGATATATGGGAAAGCACACCAAAAATGCTCAGGTGTGAATGGGAGCTTACCTGTATGTTAGGTTAGCTGTCTTTCTCTAAAACAGAAAAAAAAACCTTCATAATAAGCATGGTCTATTGTAAAACTATTGACAATATGGAAGGTTGACTAATATGTCAAATTTAGAGAGATGTAATTAAAAGTTGCAATGCATTAATTCTTTGTTAAGATGTAGCTAGGGCCACTAAATTAGCAAACATTTCTTGTATCTGCCACAATTTTGCCTGCCATAATTTTGCAGCAAATTACAGCATCTTTTAATCTTTTCACAGATGACTACTGCAAATTTCTATATATTAATATAATAAAACGAGCACTGGATCTATGTGAACAAAGCAATTTTTATAGTTGGCTTACATGGTAAACACACTTGGAGTTATCCTACTGGGATACCTTAGAATTCATAGCTACATAAGGGGGCCCCAACTGTACAGACAACTGACAGTCATCTAAGGACTGCTGAAGAAGGATCTTACTTGGGCATAATTTCTCAATTGTAGAACTATTGTTTATGCTCTTGGTACTGCAGTACACATCGAGTCCATCTTTAAAGGTACCTGGGTTAATTGCATTGTATTTGTATTGTACTGTTTTCTCATATGTTGATAGTGAACTACTAAACAACTATGTGCTTTTTCATTTTAGTCTTCCAATACAAATCTTATTATTTTTTTAACGGTCTATGTATGCCATTTGTATGTGACTGCTGGGAGTCCCCAGCAGAGATATTCTAATGGTGTCAGCAGGAATGTGGTTCTGGCTAGGGCCAGAGAAAGAGTGGAGGACCCAACACTACCAGTGACTCCTGCGGGAGTAGTGTTACACACTTCTGCTCTGCACTTCAGCAAATGCGAATCCACAGCAAACTACTTTGCAAAACACTAAACAGACTGCAGATGACCTATTTCCTCACTTCATCTCTTACCCAATCTGCTTCTTAATCTCGCCACTCTTTAACATGCACTCTCTGCTTCTGCTTCTCACAGTTTTGTCTGCTAACCATCTGCCCCCCGGAGCCCATGCCCTCACAAATACTACAGTCACCTTCTTGGCTTATTCTACACTCTTTAACTCACATCTTCAAACTCTCCTCTCTACAGGAATCTTCCCCAAACTTCTAAAACACTGGTCACCCCCATACTTAAAAATCCCTCTTCTGCTCACCCATCAAACAATTCAAAATACTAACAATTTACAAAACCATTCACATCTCCAATAAAACTGCTCTCTTGGGTCTTCACAAGAACTCCTGCTCTCTAGCTCCCTCATCACCTCCTCCCATGCTCTCCTCCAAGACTTCTACATAGCCTCTCCCATCCTCGGAAACTCCTTACCTGACTTATCTGCATGGCTATCTCCTACTCAATCCACCTTTAGGTGATCCCTTAAAACCTATTTCTTCTATTTTCTTCAAGTCAATGCACTGCCTTTTTACATTCTTCATCAGTGCATTCCCAACAGTTATTACCCCTCTTAGATTGTAAGCTCTAATGAGCAGGGCCCTCTGATTTCTGTAGCATTGAATTGTATTTTAACTGTAATGTCTGCCTTCATTTTGTAAAGTGTTGCACAAACTGTTGGAACTATATAAATCCTGAATAATATTATTATTATTATTCATAATAATAATAAAAAATGCCTGGAGTATCACTTTAAACACTACTTTTTAGGGTTGATTACACTTTTGCATCGTATTGAAAGGGACCTCATCCAAGAATTTGAATTTAAAATGCGGTAACACACTGCAAACCAGCATTTTTGGATGTTTTTTTCGCCCCCCCCCCCAATTTTTTGGGGGGTAAAAAAATGCTAAACAACACAAACGCGGAAAAAAAAGCAGGAAAATTCCGCTAAACGCTAATGCAAAAGAGCTAAAAAAGCTGAAAAACTCAAGTTTTTAACATGACTTTACACAGCTAACGTTACCAGGTTATCAAAACACCCAGTGTGTATGGAGCCTTAGGTCTCTAAAAAATACACGTGGCCACACACTGAGCCTGGATGAAAAGCAGTTCAATATAATAGGGAAAGGGGTTCTTTACTGTTGGAATGGTATACATTACAAACCATATAAACAGTAACGTTGACAATAGTGATATACCCATACTGAATAAAATCTAATAAAGATAAAAACAGACCAATATGCAAGTGCAATATTAAAACTTTATTGCAAAATTTTTTTTTTACAAAAACTTTAGAAATAGTTTTACAAACTTCTTTGTGCATAATTTGCAAAGAATATTATACAAACTTCTTTGTGAATTATTTGCAAAGTGTTTTTTTTTTAACCACTTCCAGTCCGGACACTTTTACCCCTTCTGCCCAGGCCAATTTTCAGCTTTCAGTGCTATCACACTTTGAATGACAATTGCGCGGTCATGCAACACTGTAGCCATATGAATTTTTTAGCATTTTTTTGAGACAGATAGAGCTTTATTTTGGTGGTATTTATTCACCACTTGGATTTTTTTTTTTTTTTTGCTATGTAAATTAAAAAGTCCAACAATTTTGAAAAAAAGTGTTTTTCTTATATAATTTTGCAAATAAATAGTATTTCATCATAAATTTTGGCAAAAAGTTATTCCGTTATATTTTTAGTAAAAAAAATAATAACCCAAATTAGTTTATAACCAAAATTATAATTTTTAAACATTTTTTCTTTTTTTATTATTTTTTTTTTTTTTTTTTTACATACTGTCACCCTAGCAGTACAGTGTCACCATGGTGACACTGTACTACTTGTGGGGGGTGATGAAGATTTTTTTTTTTTTTTACACTGATTGCTTTTACACCCATAAAGGATGTAAAAGCAATCATTTCTCCTTCTCTCTAGCTGTATTCTTGCAGCCATTGAGAACTACTGAGTGAGCTGTGATTGCTCACAGCTTGTCACATGGTACAAGGCTGTTGTGAATAGCCTTGTACCATGTGACCTCTGTGATCATTCACAGATTTCACATGTGATCACTGATTGGCTAATCAGCGATCACATGATCGGGACCTTGTACAGAGGTCCTGTCCGACGATCGGTGTTCCACTGTGTCCGGAGGACACAGCGGGCACCGGATCGCGGTGCTGCGTGCTCCCAGGAAGCGCGCACAAGCAGGGTGTGGGGAGGCCATTTATAAATGGCCACCTGACCCTGCACTGCCACCGTCCGGCCGTTTGTATACAACGGCCAGACAGGAGATGGTTAATCTCCCAAAATGCAAAGCATTATTATCACAGTTTCCAAAATATTATATATCCACCAAACACTGATTTTTGTTATCTGTCATGGTTTTACAAACTGTGCTTTATTGGCAAACATTATCAGTAGTCTCTAGATGTGGGCCTGCAGAATAAACCTGGTTTGAGATTATATTTAAAGTTTGTGATGTCAGGCACCCCTACTATATGGCAAAGACTGCATGTCTACATATGGAATATTTGGGTGCAGGAAAAGACCAGCACCACATGTGTACATGCATATGTGACTTTCTGTGCTTGCACAAAACTATAGTAGAGGTGACTGGCTGCACACATTTTAATACAGCTTTGCTCTAACCAGGTTTATCCTAGGCAGGCCTACAGCACAAATGTGCATGATGCACCCACATTACAGCTATGTATAACATTCTTTTCAAAATAAAATGCTTGTCATCAAAATTCAAGATCGCTTAACGATGACGTTGAGGTGACAATTGTTTTAAACAATGAACACATGAATTTAACTAGATAAAAAAAAAAATTAACATGAGTGATGCATGTTACATTTTACATAATGTGTCATCTATAACCATAAAACTTCTTTGTACAGAGGTCAAGTGATCTTTGCATTTCTCTAACTTGAATGAACACATCAACTACTAATCTTTGTGAGGAAAGTGAGGGAATTTAATCCCTGTTCCTCAGACAAATGATGTGCTGAAAAAGACAGAAACAAATCAATAAAATGTATATATGTAGTGTACGTTAAAGTGTATGTGTAGTGACTTACCTGTGTGTTGCCTTATGAGGGGTTTATGTATAATCTTCAGTAGAAACTGTAAATAGATATTTTTATAACTATACATTAAACAATTTACAAGGTTAGAAATATCAGAGATTGATTTAATATAGGTGGACTGTACATATACATGGGAACAAGGGTACAGGTTTTAGGAATCGGTCTACTAGATAGCTTTGTAGTGGAGGAATGTTTTGATGTACTGAACATGTGTGTGCCACAGAGAATGCTCTATTCTACTGTATGAGAGAAAAGACAACCACTAAATTAACTACTGTATCTCAGACTTTACAGGGCCGACATAATTATATAGACCAGGCCATTTAAATCTCTTTTGTTTTTACTATGTTCACTTCAAAGTACCCTCTCATTAGATATGCAATGGGGCTGGCCATCTGTCCAGGAATGCACAGTTTTCCCAGGCTATGACCTTACATAACTAATGTTCCCTCTAAACATAGGTCATGACCTTGCATGTGTAATTTTAGCACCAAAATGGGAGGTTCTGGTAAGGGGCTGATTTATGCTAAATATAGGGGATGGGGAAATTGTCCAATCCTGGATGAGATGCGTCAGATATAGGAGATGGATTAGATAGTTCTACACTCAGGATGGCCCCATGCAAGTCTATGAGAGGTCTATATCAGCGTAGGTTTTGTGGGAAGACAAGAGAGAAGATCCAACGATCCTGGGGGCTCCCATGCTACATCACTGCTAAATATCAGGACATCTTTCTGGCACTTACATGTATACATGCTTGTCTTATGTGTTCTCTGTCTTGCTATTTGTGGGTTCAGGGTATGAGTATTATATTCTATAATTCCTTTGTTTAATCTGTTATGTTTTTTTCCCTTTTTCTTATTGTTGTAAAATAGATAGATTGTGGTGTGTTAGTTTAAACCTACATACTATTCACCAATACATTTTGGTTGTTGTGTTAAACCTTTCAATCTTGGTCAAAGAACTCTCATTAATTTTAACCAAATCATAATCAAGAGATATTAAATCTCAAAAATAGAAACCTTCAGCAGTAACTGCAGCAGTCTCATCAACCAGAACAACATCCTTATCTGTTGTCGCAGTTGTGGTGTCATGTGCTCTCTTGTGTCTTTCTGTGTAAAAAAACAAAAAAAAAACTTGAAGAAATAGAATGAAAATGTTAAAGCACACAATAGGAATAGCGTCATGAAAACTGTACCTTTTAAATGTGAAGAACACAAGTAAGTTTCATAAAAAAAATCATTGCTGCTGTATGCACATTACATACAGTAATATTGCAATAACGTAATAACATTTAAGTTTCATTTTCAAGTGTTGTTGATAAGCAATATCACACAATATTAGTCTTTGTTTTTTGGGGACTATTTGCACAAGACACACTGGTAAAGAGCAGGAAGAAGGTGGAATGGTTAATGAAAAGCACAGTTTATTGGAAATTCGGTAAGGAGCCTGGAGTGTCTTTGACAAGGTGATACACTTGATGGATCCTTCTATGGGTATTATTGGGAATGCACAGTTAATATATTATAATGTGTGTGGCTTTCTCTCTGGGAGAGATTTTTAGAAAACAGTATTGCACTATATTGGTATTTTGGGTGAAATCGTGTGGATCTTCATGTGAGATGACCATTGAAGTACCAGATACAAGGAGATACAGAGCTGAAGTGAATCTGAGAATAATTGATTGAATATACAGCAAGTATATGAAGGATCACTGTATAGGAAGATTGGATTTACAGGAGAAGTTGATGGATGTATGACGTCTGATCTTCGGTTATACAGAGACCATATTGAACTTATTATTTTGAGAGCGCTGGTGACTTCTATCATTATCATTTCTTTCTGTGAGGGAAACAGATTGACTCCAACTGCTAAGGGGAGGATCATTGTTTACTATATTTTGCTTGTATGAAGAAAAAAGAGGGGTTCCAGTGCACTGTTCAAAAATATTTAATGTAATCACAGTAGCATGCATGCTAAAGAATACGGGTTGGATTGATGTAGACATTGCATAGAGGAACAGCATCAGCATGCAGCAAGTGCAGAGAAAGAAAGATGCATTGCATAGCTGAGAGAAAGCAGAAATGGAACAACTGAAAATAAACTACTTTTTTGATCATTTTGTGTATTTACTGCAACTGTTCTTTCTCCCTATGCTTCTGCAACTGTTCTTCCTCCCTATGCTTTTACAACTGTTCTTCCTCCCTATGCTTCAAGACAGACCAGCTCTTGCGCAACTGGTCCATTGATCGCTGCACACCATACTTCTTGGCAAGCACATGGACAACCTTCTCCATGATGGTGTCTTTTCTTGTATTAGGCCTGGTGTAGTTGCAGAACCTTCCATCATAATTGTTTTTCTCAAGAATGTTCACTATTGTTTTTATTTTATCTAGGGACATAGGCGTTGCTTTGTGTTTCCCCCAGTGTTGGCTTTTTCCTTCTGGAATGGTATTCTCCTTCTCTTTAGCCATCCTTCTGCTGCTCAAGATGGCGCTGGATGAAGAAGAGAGGCGGAGCTTGTAAAGTCTCAGATAGCACTACAGTACACTCTGACCCGGCCTACAGAACGTTATCAAGGAATGGTTACATGGACCAATTCACAGATAATTTGTAATAACTGAAGGTAAACAGACCAGTACAATACTTTTAGGGTATTCATAGTTTTGTGTAGTTTGTCTTCTCTACAATGATCCGTGTTTATTATTTCAGGAGCAATGGTGGACAAATTTACCTCACCAGAATTTCTGCCTCAGTTTATTCAAATGTACAAAAATCTTCTATGCCTATGGAAAGTATGCTCCAAGGACTATTTAGACCTTAATAAGCTTAATGAAGCATATACTAAATTAGCAGAGCTCTGCACTGTTGCATATACCAAAACAAATATAACATGTGACCATAAAAATAGCAAATCTGTGTACTATATTAAAAAAAAATTGAATAATATTAACGATTCCAAAAGATCTAGTGCAGGTGCAGATCAAGCCTACGTACCACGTCTGTGGTATTTTGAGAGTCTTCGTTTTCTGTCTGACTAGGAGGAATCACAACCCTCTGTGTCAAGATTAGGCGGTAGTAGTGGAAATATGTCAGTTGATGAAGAAAATGGCACACCAGAGGGAATGGCAGACAGTCAGATAAGTAATCATAGGTTTTTATTAAACACTTTCTTTACTTACAGATCAGGAAATATAGATTAAAGATAATATGTCATCAAAAATTAAAAAATCACATCACACTTCAAATTTGAAACTTAACAGTACATTTGTACATTTAATTCTTAATGCAAATATAACAAGACATATCACCAATGCATGACAGTATCTTTCTGGTCAACCATGGATTGTGGCATGTAGGTGGAGGTAGTACGCCTTAAGAATTTATGCAACACACGGCAACAATGAACTACAGCATCGATTTTTGGGGGGCTACATTTATTGCTGTATGGAAGATACAGAAATGGTTGGCCATAATACCAAACGCATTTCCTACAACTCGTCTTGCACGAGATAACCTGTAATTAAAGATTTTTTGATCTTTTTAAAATACTGATAAAATACTGTTTTCTCTGTTTCCTCCATCTGAATTGTGTCCATTTTTGCCAATGTCAACAAAGATGAACTCATACTTTGCATTCATGATTGCCATTAGGCTGATGCTAAAGTAGGTTTTTGTAATCAAAATAGAATGGGCTCATTTTGTTGAGCGTGTTATGCAAACATGCTTCCTGTCTATGGCACCACCACAGCTGGGGAAATTCCAGAAGTCATTAAATTATTAACTGTTGCTTTCCATTCCTCAACAGATGCTGGTAGCTGTAAAAGGAAAAATATACACTCACTGGCCACTTTCTTATGTACACCTGTTCAATTGCTTGGTAACACTAATTGCTAAGCAATCACATGGCAGCAACTCAAAGCATTTAGGCATTTAGATGTGGGGAAGACTACTTGCTGAATTCAAAACGAGCACCAGAATGGGGAATAAAGGGGATTTAAGTGACTTTGAACATGGCATGGTTGTTGGTCATTTAAAAAATTGCTGATCTACTGGGATGTTCATGCACAACCAACTCTAGGGTTTACAGAGAATGGTTTGAAAAAGAGAAAATATCCAGTGAGCGGCAGTTGTGTGGACGGAAATTCCTTGTTGATGGCAGAGGAC